CTTAAATTAACAAACTTAGAAAGAGTTACAAAATATAACAAATCAGCAACCTATTAGTAGAAAAAATATAATTCCCCATGAACAGAGATATAAACAAATAATCAGAGATGGGAAGTAACGAAGTACAAATACTTTGTTACTGTACTCAAGTAGATTTTTCTGATATTTTTACTTTACTACTTATTTTTATGCCGACTTTTTACTTCTACTCCTTACATTTTTACACAAATATCTGTACTTTCTACTCCTTACATTTAAAAAAATTGGCTCGTTACTTTAGTTTTGAATCATTTCAATGGAGTTAGTTATTTTTCACAGCATAAATACCAAATTCAATCTAATTGGATGGGAATCTACGTTGCATTTGACGCACCACTACAAGATGAATCGACAGATTCGGCGGTATTCATTCACGGCAAATCATTGCAGCTTGGTAGCGGTGGCATTAGCATAGTAGCATGGACGACGAGATGATTGAAAATGAACACAACGGAGATCTAGTCCTATTGGCAGACATCCGTTTAAAATGTAGGCAACGGCATGAAAAAAGTGGTTTCTACTTTTACTTTTATACCTTAAGTAAAATTACAAGCCTGTACTGTTACTTTTACTTGAGTAAAGAAGTTTAATCAGTACTTCCACTTTTACCAGAGTATTTTTTAACACAAGTATCTGTACTTTTACTTAAGTACGGAAAGTGAGTACTTTTGCCATCTCTGAAAATAATTTTAAGACCAGGTATGTACTTGCCACTTTGTGGTGATGAAGTGTATGGTAACTGTGATATAGCTTTTTGTGATCTACTTTTTTGTTATCACATCCTCATCTATCTTGCACATCCATAATTTTGGTGTAAGAATTTGAAGCTGCTCTACGACTCAACAAAGCTGAATTGGCTTTATTTAAGAAGTGATAAGTCAAAGAGCTTGTCGACTGTTTACAAAACAGAATGGAATACGTAGAATTTTACTGCCTCAGATTGGATTGTTTCTGTTCTGGTATGACGTATGCTATGATTATTTCTCTTTCAACTACCATGGTCTTGCTTCTCTTAAGGATGAAAAGCAGCAACCTCTTCTGGCTGGCGACCACACTGGTCTAAGTTAATATTATCAGTTAATTGGATGAAGCAATTTTAATTAAATAAACCAGTATTAACCAGTACTCAATTCTTCTTTTGTTATTTGGCAATCTTACAATGGGATAAGAATAGGCAACGTCCAAACTAGTCCAACCTGGATTAAATTGCTTTACGTTGATAACAGATTCTTTAGAAAGCAATCTTAAGTAACTAAAGTACGTTTTTTTAATAAGTAAAAAAAATCCTTTCCGAGAACATAAAAAATTGTAGTTTTATTGCAAAATGTTAAGTTAAAACCTTAAAAATGTAAAATAAGTTATGAAGAAACTAATGAATTGTTTACATGAAAAAAAAAGAAAACCACACACAGTTTACCTTTTAAAATGGTAAACTGTGTGTGGTTTAAAATTGTTTAAACCCATCCTCTTTTCATGGTTAATCCCAGTTGGCCGGTGTTGCACCATGTTTTGTGGCTTATGTTTTAAATCAGGGCAGAGTGGTGAGGAGAATCCACAACAGCCACCCTTTAGATCACAGTATATGATGGGTTGCAGAATATGGTCAAACACCAACATCTGCATGTCTGGAAAAAAACAACAACTCAGAGCTAATTTCTATACCTCGTTTGTTTGGCTCAACGAGGGCTCTTGTTATGTGTGTCACTCAATAAGCTGCATGTATGACAAAAAAAAGAAACATGTCTGCTTAAACAGCTTCTTAATGCTTTTTGAATATGATACCCTGTTTTTTTTAAGATAAACCAAACTGAAAGCATTGCCAAAAAGCTTAACCACGTCTAACCATGGCCGCGCTTCACTAAAAAACTTTGGTGAACGCTCCATGTTTCCATTCAACATTAACAGACGAAGGTGATGAAAAAAAAAATATTTGAACCAGAAGAAGAGAAGTTAGATGTCAGAATCTCCCGCCAACATAACATTTGAAGAAGACAGAGACAGCAAAATGGAGAAGTCACGTAACTTTTGCGGTAAATGCTTCAGGAGAAGAAAGGAGAATTCTGCACTTGGGACACAGTCCTAAACTTAAACGTTTTCTAGAATTCATGTACAACATAAAGATGGAATCTTTTGCAGCAGAAAAGGAGTGGCAGGATATGAGAATCCTGAAAATCAACAGCAGTACTTTTTGCAAAATATTATGATTCACCAGATTGGAATTAAATCCTTTATCATTCTACTTTTGTATTTTTAATATCCAAACATGATATTAGTGGCAGATTATTTTCTTATTTTCTTGTAGGTTTTACTTCATTACGAAACATACAAATTATGTATTTCTTCTTTTTCAACCACTGGCCTAGCTTAAAACATTAATCACCCACCTCCAGAGCTAGAATTGCTCCTATTGAGGAATTCCTGTCACCTGGAGTACTCCTCTATGAGATTTCTTTTTTATCATAAAATGGCCTATAAATAAACTGTAAAAAAATTTGGAAAACCAAATGAGCTTTTAAAAAGAGCAGCAATAATAATGTAACAACATGTCTATTTCAGACCAACTTGAAAACACAAAAAGCATGCAGAGATAAAGGAGTTGACATTTACCAATTTGTAAATGTCAAGTTTTTTTTACTTAGTTTTTGTTCTTGTTACCATAATTTTGTGTAAATTTCTGGACGGTTAAAAGATGTTTTCTGCCAAATGCACATATTTAACACAAATATCATAATGCTGCTTTGTGAATCATCTTTATATGGAAAAATTGTGCTGAGTTCACATTAAGTTGGTTTGAGTTGAGATGGACGCTATATTGACGTCCTGTTTACGTGGAGAAGGTGTTACGGCAAGATATGCAAAGTTATTTAAATTAACAGCTTTTGTTAGCACCCAGCTGGCTTTTCCAAGTAACGCTTAAAATAATAATTTTCAATTATGTTTTTTTGCAGAGTGAAAACATCCAAATGGCCATGTCTTCACAAATTCGTTTTGAGTTTTCACAAGTTTAACATCTCTGCAAACTTTAGATCCCACTTTTTCAGGATCTTTAAATAACACAAAAGACCATGCAGGGTCTTTTTCCTGGTTTTGCCATTGCCTGCCATATATACTTTTAAAATAAAATAAAAAAATTAATCCTAAGTGTTCCTAAAAATATTTTTAAAATCTTGTCTTGCAGATCTAAAATAATGCATTATCTCATCTCATGAATCAATCGTACCACTCCTGTTATTTCATATATCTTCTGAATCATTAACCTATTCAGCATAAAATTTTAAAAGCAAATATGTTAGAGGAAGTTTTGCTAAAAAATTCTGTAACCCATAAATTTAAGTAAAGCATTGAGTTTTAAGCATTTAAAACGTTCCTTTGCTTGCTTGAAATGGGCTACTGAGCCATCATGGATTCCTAGTGTGCATTCACACACCAAAACCAGGATTTTTGAAATCGTTTTAAAGGGGGATCAGAATCTCAAATACCAAAACAATAAAAAAATAATATGCATTTTGGTTTAAATGTAAAAATATAGCTTATTAAGAATATATCCTCCAGCATTTTAAAGATAACAAGAAGATAGCTGAGAAACATAGGCTATAGCTTGAAGGAAAATACAAAAAGGTAAAGGGTGGGCGGAGGGGTGGTGGTGGGGGGGTGGGTCAGTGCTTGACGCGGAGGTTTGGACAAGAGTGAAAGGGGGTGGGGCGAAGGGCACCGGCATCCCTAAGTCGGTCCCAGGGGGATTCCCTCACAGATAAATGGTAGGGAATGTGACCTAATGCCTAGGAAATGGTCATGTTTAATTTAACAAGCAGATGGCAGGGGCATCAGAAGTGTGTTTGGGGGGCGGGGAGCAGCGCAACAAGCATGCCTGGAGGATTCTCACAGCTTTCAGGAACTATAATTTATAATGTCCAAAAACAAAAGGATGATTTTACATTGCAGATGCGCAGGTGGTAGTAGAGTGAAAACACCATTACCTTATGTGCTAAAGTTTTATTCTATCATTGTTATAACTGGAATGATTTCACCACAGTCAGAGAATATATGTACTTAGTAAACTATAACAGAGATTTAATATTTTTTAAGTTCCAGCAATTTTTATCTAGTTTCTGCAATCAGATTATTAGTGTAATGTATTTCATGATATGCATAAAACCAGAAAAAATCCTATTAATTGTCTCAAATATACTTCCATTATCAGCAGGGAACGTTCTCAAAATAAAGGTCATGAAACACATAATCAATACATATGATGGGGCCCAAAACCATGATTGATCCTATAATTATTAATGTCCCTGGCATACTTTGCTTTTAAATTATTTCTGTTCAATCAAGAGGTATTTTTTTAAAACAAAAAGAGTCTGCTATCTTTCAAAAAATAATACATATAATACAAGGATTACTTAATAAAAAAACTTTCTTCATTTAGTTTTTATTAAAAATTGGAGTTGCAAACTTAATATCACCCTTTCAATAATCAACAGAAAGGTATTTATTAGCATTAGAGAAATTAATCTTTTCTCAATATGGCCAGCAAGCTTTTTGCAAGTTTTCTCTGGTCGTTTGACAATTTCTCTATAATGAGCTCTAAGTGTTTCAGGTTGGAAAGCCCTGCTGCCATCACCCTAATCTTTCCAAAGGTTCTTCAATTTCAAGGATGAACTCTGGCTTGTCACGTCAACACATATTTATTTTTACTTTCATAGAGAAATCATTTTAGGTCAATTGTAAGATTATTTCAAACTCACATTCTCCAGATGTATGAATGATGTTGGGCTTAATTGTATCTCATAATGCAACAAGAAACAAGATTAGCAACATCACCTTTTTCTGCATACAGATAACACTTCTAAAAAACAACTATATTGAACTGTACCAGGAGATAGAAAACAAGAGCTCTTGTAGTGACATGACCATTATGTTTTTGTGAGAGGGTAAAAGTGATTGTGTGTCTTTCTTGCCTCAAGTAGTCCCTGCGACAGAGGATGAGGTTGGCTTTCGTGTACAGGGTGGAGCCCACCTCCCCCAGGCGGCAGTCACAGCAGGCACATTTGAGACAGTCTTCATGCCAGTATTTGTCCAAGGCCTTGAGCAGGTAGCGGTCTTTAATCTTCCGATTGCAGCCAGCACACCCCTTCTGCTTCCCTTTGGGCTGGACAGAGAGCATCGGCACACCTGTAGTGATAAGGAGACAAACAGCAACGCGTGATTTACGGCCCGGGAACACGAGTGACTTTTCAGGTCCTCTTCTTTTTTTTGATAAGCCAGCTGCTTCCCGAGGCGTCTAAGCCTAGTGTTCGCACACGGCCACGGCAAGCTGCCTACCTGCTTCATATGCATTAAAGAAAACACTCTTCCATGTAGATAGGCACCCAGGTCACATTGGACTACAACACCTTGACTTACTTGTTCGGCTAGGAACATGCTGTAATACAAAAGTTACACGATCACTGACTGTGGGCCTTAGAGGAAGGGACACGGATTTCTCTGAATAAAACACACAAGGCCTGTTTAGCTTACTGTGGTATTTACAACAAGATGTGCAGTATGTTACTTACCTACCATTTCATCAAAACCCATTTCACTCAACTGTCCTCGGCTGTAAAAGCTCCTCATGGGCTTTGTTTGGTATAGATTAACATTAACCTTTTAAAAAGCCTCTGACCACAAAAACGCTGCTACCAGACCCCAGTGAGATATGTTATGGCCTAAGTGCCTTTTAGCATACACTCACTCAGTGTGTGTTTCATAGAGACACACACACACATAAGCGTGCGCACAAACCCCAAACACACAATGCTGTCTCCTCTCTGTGCTCTGAGCATTACAGCCTTTCCTCCTTTTACACTTATCTGTACTCATGTGTCCGCAATGAGCAAGCCTAAGTTACCAAACTCACAAATTGCCCTGCTGTCACGCAGGTCCCCTTTAAGTGCGCCTTTTAGCCTCCTAAAGGACAAATAAAGTCCATTTAATAACTGCACTAAACACTAATAGTCTATGTGAGGCTGACATTTGTGTTTGGACTAAAAGCCCCCCTCAGGCCACTGCTGGTACGGAGGCAGGGGTGCGTAGCTCCCCTCTGTAGCACTAACAGGTCTGCCACAGCTGAAAGCACAAGACAACAGCTCTTAAGACACTCTCTCACACACTGAGCTATTGATCCATCTAAAAGAACACACAGTGGACGCCACTTGCAACTCTACTTTCAAAACACATTTGTCTCTCTCTACCAAAAAGAGGAAAAAAGGGCAGGACATCTGCGTCGTGGGGGTTTAGGCTAACATTTTGTACGTTCGAGTGACTGTGAAGGCCTTTTTTACATGATATAAACAGTTTATATACAATCTTATTGACTTATTAGTTTGTGCATGGTGAGATAAAACTTTTATTAACATCTCTTTTCCAAGAAAGAAATTGCAAAAGTGACAGTGTGTATTGTGCATTTAGACCTGCTATTTGCTTTTTCAGTGATAAAAAAAACAACCTCGGCAGATACAAATGGACTGCCTCTCTTGCTGTTTTTTTTTCAGCCAAGTTTATTGAGTTTACTCTCTTTCAAAACGACCTTACACTGCTTTTCACAAAAACTTCTTTGGAATAGAAAATCCCATTTCCGCCTAGCTTTTCTAACTCTTTCACACATGTACACGCACGTAAATAGACAAAAAAAATGTATTATTAAATCCAGATTTGCACTTTTTCTCCATCCCTACATCAATATTGCAGGGGATGCAACTTAATTAACAATTTCCCCTTTTACATAAGAGGTGAATAAAAAGGAAGAGCTTGTTAGTCTAATTTATGGCATTGGTTTATATGTCAGAAAGGACTCTAGTGGTGTCGAGCCGTCTTATTTCTTTATCAAAAGTAGAGAGTAGAGGGTAATTGGTTCAGAGCTAGTGATGGGAGCCAACAATTAGTGTCCTGCATGCCCTTCAGCTCCCTAACCTGCCACCCCAAAACAGACACCTTGAAGTTGCTGCATTAGGATTACAAACCCTGCCATAAATACCAATGTTCAGCATAAATGAAACTAAAAAAGCTTCGAATTCAAGCCACACTGAATAAGAGCAGACACGGCTACCTGTATTTCATGGCTTGTTAGGGGAGCTCTCTGCAGGTATGCCAACAGAGCTCGCCTGTCAGGCTTCTACAGAACTAAAAACAGTCTTAATGAGGGAGAGCTTGTATGTGCGTGTGTGTTTTGAATCGGAGCTTGTGTTCAGCAAGAAAAAAAAAAAAAGAGTCGCTCCAATTCCCTCAAGGATTACAAAAATCTTTAATTTGCCTTTATGACACCTAATTAGTTATTCAACTCAAAATCTTTGCTTTAAATAAGAGAAGTAATTATATGAAAAAGGTCATTTCTGCACCACCGAAGGAACAACTCCTAATTGGCTGAGACCACCACTCCCGACATGCACTCTGTTTTACATCACGTTTGAAAAGGACAAGCTTTAACCTATCCTGGAATTACCGTGTGCTGCTCACAGCTGCCGTTAGATGTTTAAAACCCTGCTAAGCACCTTTAAAATGACACCACACTTTCTGTCTAATATTACCCAGGTTCTGTTTCCAGTTAGTCTGACATTTATTCCTACAAGCGTATGTGGTGGGTTCTCTGCTCCAGACTGTGGCAGAGTTTTTATTTTGCAAACTGTCTGAAGAGCCATCGCTGGGAACAAACAGGTTTTATGTCTTCTCCGAAAAACAGCCTCTGCAAAACAGGAGTGCAGCAAGCAGGAGTTAAAACCTACTAAACAAAAAGCAGTGACAGGAAAGAAAGTGATTGTGTAAAGTGAATGTCTTTTCAATTCCCTTAATGTCATGAGACATTTTCTTGCACCTGTCATCACTCCGGGTGCTATGCGAAATGCCGTAGAGCAGAACCCTAAATTCTTGGCACCTCCCAGAAAAAAAAATAAAAAACATAAAAAACAATAAAACAAAACCAAGCTGCATTATGAAAGTAAGAAGCAGACCAAGAGGCAGCCTCCACTTAATCCATCCCATTTAACAGATACAAGTGCCACTGACCTTCCGGTGTCATTTGATGTAAAAAAAAAAGCATGCCTCTCCACATCAAAATTCGTTCCCCCAACACGGGGATACATTTTCCCAACAAAGTGGAGAGACAGCTCTTGCTCTACCAAATATCTTTCCTGAGAGGGGAATTTAATTTGCCATTAGTGCTGGGTGTAAAGCCCTGTCATCTCTCTCTTTCTTTAAGATTACATCTTCAAAGAATATGTACAGTTAGTTTTACTCAGCCCAAGCGGCCTGTCAGAGCATGTATTTTCATTATAGATACCATCCGACTTCTCTTACCCTATTTACACTTTCATTTTTGCAGTTATCAGAAAAACCAAATCAGTCTAGTAGGCTTTTTTTTTTTTGTATATATTGAAGTTTTTAAGAAAAAATACACATCACAGATCAGTCAAGGAAACCTTTTGAAAAGGTAAAAAAAACATGTAGTTAAAAGAGAAATACGGCATGAGTAAGAATACTGAAAGCAACTATTTATCAGCCGTTCCTAAACAATGCTTGGTTTCTGTATGAAAAAAATATTTTCTCAACTGTATTTTTAATCATGTACACACATTTCCTCAACACCCCAAGGGAATAAACAACTATCTGTGTGTCAGTTGTTCAACCTGAAGGAAGACCTGTTATTGATTCAACATCGGCTCAAGCATTGAGGTTAATTATCACATTGTGTGAAATTCTGCTGTTGCTGCATTTATTTTTGCTTCATCTTTTATTTTAGTCATTGAAGCATCAGAACCAGTGAATTACAAAGCAGTTATTCTTCTTTAAATAATTTTGATGTGTATTGTGATTTAAGGTGTTTAGAGTAATGCACAAGCCCCCAAACCTTTAACAGCAGAAAAAAATAACAGCTCCATATTCCTTCTCTTGATTGGTTAAAAGCTTTATATTCAACCCAGTGATGCCTACTCTCCAGATTCAAGGGGAGGTTAAAGATTTGACTGTTCAGCCTTCCTGACAAATTAGGAGAAGGGGTGGGGGGGAGGTGATGTTTAGGAGGTGGAAATTTGCCCTGGGTGGCCCATTCTCTCAGGACCCCTAATAATTTGCAGCCCCCAGCTGCTTTGAGAGAAAGGTTTTAGCCGCCATCGTGATGATCACAAAATAACTAGATCTACAAAAAATAAAATAAAGTAATGATTCCATTTGTCTGGAGCATTTCCACTTCTTATTATGGTTATAATTAACTTAATCAGTGTCAACTATTGATTCAAAAAAGTGCTTCGCATAAAAAAGCCTACAACAGTTCTAATGATGAGACACTCGGAAAAAAAAAACTTAGCCAAGCAGGATAAATCATTATGAACTTACGTTTTGAGCAGTAATTAGTGTGTGAATTTAAACTATGGACACAGCTAATGCTTCGACAAGGATTGTATTTTTAACTAGCATGTAGCAGTAAAATCTTAGTAACTACATATTCATAAGTAGATGCAAAATATTCATAAATTGTTTTTTGCAGTGACTAAACCATCCATCACCAGAAAGATGTTTTTGTAATTGCAGGTTTAAAAATATCAAAACAAATAACTGAATACATCACAAAACATATAGTAGGGGCTAACATTAGGTCTGCTTAGGATCAGTTTAAGAAATGAACATCTAATAAAGCCATTTCTTTTGCAGTCCTCCAATACTCTCCATGTTGTGTTATATCTTAATGAAGGAGATAAACAAAAAAACAGACAAACAAATCAGGCTTTTCTGGCCGACTTCAATATCCAGCGTCTTTTTAGGTCTAGACTGCCATCTCTGAGTTTGACCAATTTAAAAGAATTGTTTAAGGATTGTAAAATATTAAATAGAAGGTAGATTTGCTGTGTTTGTTTACATTTGCTGTGTTTTATTGAATGAAAAATTAATTAAAGCTTATCTTTCTCCTAAATCAAAACTTTGTAAAATGCTAAAAAAAAATATTACATAAACGCACATGCAGTTTGTTATTGCATTACTACACAAAAACCTTTTATGCATTTAATGAAAATGGATTTTATTTTTATATATCTATGTATTGTTTTAGAAAACAAATTGCATGCAAATCAATCAGTCAAAACTTGACCATTTCTAGTGTCGGGCAAAACTAAGTAGTGCATTTAGATATTGTATTATATCATATTACA